CATACATACATACATACATACATAAACTTTATTTAAGCTCGAATTTCAGAGTAGCTTGACAAGCTAATATTTCCGAGAACAAAATATTTGATAACGAATTGTTTATATTATAGGAACTTAAATTTTGAAATAAAAATGAGGGGTCCCCATACTCTTTTAGGAGCAACAGCACCTTGTTTGTACCCAATAAATCCTTATACCAGCACCATGATTGTAGTTATAATCGCTTGCTAAATTCACGTTTCCGGCGATTGTTTCTTGTTCTACCCTGAGAATTGGTTCATATTTATTTTACACAGAGAAATTTATTACTCAATTCAAAATAACAGAAAAAAATGAAAGGTCACCGTACTCGTTTTCGAGGAAATGACGATTTACCTCTATGGTGAGGTCCAGCCGTAAAGGAAAAGCCGCCATTTTTTTAATGCGCGCGCGCTAACCACGTGTGAAATTATGGGCAGTAGGGATGCGCAGTGCAATACTGGGGAATGATCTTAACAAAGAAACGCACCCTAAGTAACGAATGATAACATGTGCTGCTCAAACGGACGAGTTTCTTTTCAGGGCTTAAAATTGCGAAACACGCCTAGAGTTTGGAGTTTTACGGCTGTTTATTTATTTTTTTTTTTTCACTTAGGCCAGGTTTACACGTCAAATTTCATATGCGCCGAATCAAATACCAACTTGAGTCGCTTCGAATTAAAAACATGCGGTATTTGATTTAGACGTGGCATTTCACATGTGCCAAATCGAAATCGTGAGCGCAGGAAGCACAGTAATGGGCATAATAAAGTTTAGTTTTTTCCTCCCGATGGCAAGTTTGTAATGGAAATTATTTAGGCTAAGCTAACGCAGAGAATGGTGAACAACTGAATAAAATGAAACTCTCTATTCGTAGCTTCGTATCCTTTCAAGAGGCCTTCCACGAGCGTAGTCCAAAAATGGTTAACATCTATGACGACATCCAGCCCTGGTACTCTGAAAAGGTCAAACCACAAGACCGTGAAGAACAAGGACTTGAAATCTTGAACGATTTATGATAGAGTACCTCAAGTAATTGCACAACCTGTTACAGCTCATCCATGCTTGCCGCTCTGGGGACTGGGAAGGCTACCTGGCAGCGATGGAATGCCTGATAAAGAACTTCTTCGCGCACGATCTCCTCAACTGCGCTCGGCTAATGCCAGTCCACCTCGCGCAAATGAACGCACTCGAGCATGAGGACCTTATGACATATGAGGCATTGAAGTCCGAGGATTTTGTTGTCGCGAAGTCAGGGATCCCGTTCACGAGGTTGTTCACAGATCAGACGCTAGAACAGGAGATCAAAGTATTAAAGCGCCACGGAGGTATGTTCGGGTTAAGTCAAGACGAAGCCGCCGTAGATCACCCTCTTGTCACGTCACTGTATCTCTACCGTATGGTAGAGCAACAAAACGCTTTCCTAAAGTTTCCGAGGCTTCTGAGGAGAACGAGCACTATCAACTCTCTTGGGATGTTGCTGTAAGAACGCGAAAAAACGCCATGAAACTCCGCCAGTCGATAGAGCTACACTGCGAAGGTAACCCATTTACAGTTGAGTCTCCCTAGAAGAGTGTGATGTCGTCAGCTCTTGTGCCTGAAAAAGCAAAGGAAGATATCCTGCGCTAGGCAGAGAAGAGCCAAAAGCGGTTTGAAGCATTTGTTGAAGACAAATATCTTCTAAGCACTCCTTATGGGACGCTATGAAAAAGCTGAGACTGGTCACTTTGTTCGTAAATGGATTATTAGCGCGCTTCTCCAGCAACACAACCATCAAGCTGGTCTGAGCGTCTTATCCAAAACCAGTTAGCCAACGGAGAACTGCCAACTCAGGTTAAAGACCTAGAGAAATTTGTCTGCCAAGTGTATTGCAAAGTGGGACCTACCACCCTTCCTGAACTTCGATGGGAGCTCTTGTGACTCAGGAACTTGGAAGGTGAGATGCTGCCATCAAGCGCGCAAACCTCCTAGCCATGCGTGACAAATCCTATACCATCACCTGCCCAGATCTTCCCCTCATTACAGAGAACGGCTGGAGCGGAAACTAAGGAGCATACGTGCCCGTTATATACTTGTCTCTCCCTGCACCCCAAGCTGTTATTGAGCTTATCAAATGCAGCTGCAAGTTAGACTGCAAGGGACTCTGTAGCTGTTTCAAGAACGGAATTCCATGCACTCCTCTTTGTTAATGCTTTGGAAAAACCTGTACAAATCCATTCACAGACGGCACACGAGTTGATGACGAGGATGGTCTTAGTGCATAAGAACTTCAGTCACATTTTATGCTCGAACACCTTCAACGGAACTGTACATTAGTATTATACATAGCAGAAAGAAGACGAAAAGCGTCTGCGTTGTTACTATGGGACTAACAAAAGTCAATGATATTTTCGTATGAGAAACTGAAAGAGTACCTGCCTTTAGCAAAAAAGGAAAATACAAGAAAGTTCTGCACTTAACTGGACATCGCTCATACCGGAAATCATTCGTTAGTTAAAGTTTATTTAAAATTCACTGTTTTGCTTTAGAATAATGAGATTTCGAAAATCCAAGATGGCGGATCCAAGATGGCCGCCACCAAAATAGCAGGTAGTTAAACCTGACGTCATTGCTGGTTGCCATGGTAACCAAGTTAAGTCATACGACGTACGTCATCAAGAGTAAGCTTCGTATAACGTTTGGTCCATGTATCTTGAATCTAAGAGCAAGGATATTCGCAAGACTTTTTTTACATCTAATTAGCATAAATTAGCATAAATTAAATCCTTAGAGTGGCCAGAAACATGGGAAGACGGGATTGAAAAATTTGAACTCCATCGGATTCTTATTGTTCAGCCCAAAATAAGTGGAAAACAGCGAAAAGATCAATTTCGGCACGAAAGTCCTACGGGATTACACGCCGTACCGCACCACAAGGACGAGACAAGAAACTTAACCACAGATAACGCCTGGTTCTTGATCTAAATTGAGACCAGACTGATGGGAATGAGTGCTTTAACCAGACATACAAGATGCTCAACAAATTTAGGGAACTAAAAGGTTAATTAGATTGTAACACTACAACATTTCAAAAGTAGGGACAAAGAAGAAACAGTGCTGTTGTTTTAGTAAATAGATATCCCAACAAACGCAAAGCAACAATAAAAACCAAATCAAGGCCAATATCAAAATGTAAACATCATCAGTAGCAAAGACAGCTACAAAGTCACCTTATGTTTCTCTGATACACTCATAAATCTATTTCAAAGTGTCTGAGGAGATTAGATCAGATAGATAAAAGAGCTATACACTGAACAAAACCAAGCACCGTCTCGCATTCAAAGGTTAATTGGACAAATATATGTCAAAAGTATATGCCTGATATGTGACTATTACCAGTTTTGTCCTACTCGGCTGAAACGACGGTGATGATTGGACTGATCAATGTTCCCCGTTTTTTTTCGATCATCGAATTCGCAAAATGTTCCAGGGTTCTTTCTTTCCGCTGAAAAAGTAAAGCGACTGTTAACAGTTTGTGAGATAATTTTTAGCCAAATATGCATAACAAAGTTAACACTGATTTGCACTCACAACTTTTACTGAGTCGCCAGAATGAAAACAAAAACCAATATGAGCCGATAACGGGAAATTTCCTTGTCAAAATAATAAACAGGGAAAAGTGAAGCAGATTGATTTTTCTACCAGCGGTTCTTGCAATCAATTATTCATCATTTGCTTGGCTTACAGATAGCGCTCAAAAACTGAAAACAAACAGTCACGCGATATTCATTGATCCAAATCTCTTCCAGTGTAAATTAAAAGTGTTAAACATCTCTTGTATATACATCTTATTTGTGGATGAACGGTATCAGTTACCAACAGTTTACAGTTTATAACCTTACCGTGGTCAGTCTCTCGATCCTCGGACGAAATTGAATCAAAAGTGATAGAATCTGAAAAACAAAAGCAAAAACAATCGAATTAAACCACTTCTTCTAAAGTATGTAAAATCTTTTGCTATCTCCATTTTATTGTTAAATACTCACGCTACAGTCCAATGCCTTTCAAAGGAAATTGTGTAGTTGACCATAGTTAATAGATTGAAATGATTATGAAGCCCGACAAAGTTCTTCTTTGTATGATTTTTTCCTCATTTTGGCCTTAACTATGCACAAAGCACAATAGGTAATTATTTATGTTTCATAGACTATATAACTCAACTGGAACAATTCGGTTATGGGACTTATGCATAGTGTATGATGGTAAAACGAAAGAATATTTGGGGTCGTGGACCTTCCAACATAAATCTTGGCATCTTTGTTTGATCTTTTAAAGCTTGTCGGGCTTCAAAACTACTCCCTCCACTAACCGTGCGTTGAATGAATAGAATTTACATTGTTCGCCTTTCTATCATGGACACTGACTGACTTGTCTGAAGACAAGTAAGACAAGTAAAGAAGCAAGGCTTTTGCCATAGGTCTGTTGCAATGTTTCACATTTGATCATTTCATAATATACTTTGCAGGATTTTATTGATTTCCTTCTGCCGCCTTCTCGTGGTAATAATATCAGTTCACAGAACCAAAAACTTTCCCGTTCTTACAGGAAACGATTGAGTTTGCGATCAATCCTCGCTTTTTGATTGTCTGAATGTCGTGACTATCATAATCGCGATATGCATATATATTATTCTAACTGGCCAAGATAGACACCAGACGATGCAAAGTTAGCTAGAGCTCATCGGCGTACGAGCCGGGCGGGGGGTAGGGGGCGAGGGGGGCTGCAGTCCCACAGCTACGGAAAATTACGTAATTTTTCGGGCAAAACGGTCATGATTCAGGCAACGACACTTAAAGAAAACATTACAAAATGATGCTGTTAATGTGATTTCCAAAACTCGAAAAAAAAGTTTCTACTTTTTATGAAGCTCTCTGTGATTATACGCCCGACCGGGTGTCTGTAGGCCGTTGAGTGATTTCTTCAATGGGTTGGTACCTGAAGTAGTACCGTGTGCGTACAGTATAAAGTGTACCATTTGTATCTACTGCTGATCTTAAGTATCGTTGGCGCACCGAAAACGCCGCGGTAGTCAGTTGGGACAGCGTTTTCGGCCTTTCCTTTTAAATTTTAAGGCTTGTAAGCTACTTTCTTTGACATTTGCCATGCAAAAAGGACTTAGACTGAAATGTTATGAGGGACCTGGGGTTTTCTGCTGGCTACAAGTTGGCTAAATGTGTATCGTGGAAATCCAAAATAAGGATATTATTTACTTTCCCAATTTTCCATCAGCAAAACAAGGACACGAATCAAAGCGAACGAAGACCAAGACTTTTTTTCTTGTGGTGGCTTTGAAAGGGCCGTTTAGAATGTCTTAATCATGGTGTGTTTTAATTTATTTCTTGAATTTTACTTTGGAGGTGTTCCTCTAGTACGCCCATGTTGTTAAGCATCTTATTTACGTGGCTTTTGAATTCACAGAAGGCTTGCAGTGTTCGCTGCAAGTCTGCTGTGGCCAAGAATATCGGCTCAAACGACTTCTAGCAACGCCTCATGTTGTTCTTTGAACGTCTGGAGTATGTCGAGACGTTCGTCTCGAATATATGATTGCTTCTGTAACGGTTGTCCAAACGGTCCATCTTCAAACACAAACGTCACTGTTGCTGATCAGCCGATTGCTGAACGAACTCCATGAAAAGAAGCACTTTTTCTTTTAATAAGTTGTATATGTTACTAGCTTGAGACTGTTGGTAGAGGTCATTGAGTATCCAAGCTTTCAATAGAACTATCTATATGAACGTTTTTCTTTTTCACGCAGTTTGAGTGCGTTTGCATCCCGATTTCAACACTCACGCATTCGGGCACTGAGTATTTTTTTCGGGCAAGAAGGTCACCCACAAGTCTAAAGGTGCCCGTACGCAAGAGCTGTACTTATAACAGCGAAACTTGCTTTGGAAAGTGAGAGTACGAAAACCGCTTGAGGGTTTCTAGATATTTCAAGGAAAAACTGATTATCATAATACGTCAAGCATGAAAGATGTATTTCGAAGTTTCTGGAGTGTCAAAACATAAGCTTGGCGGGAGGCGAGATAAGCTGAAAATCCAGCGGGATGTGGAATGCGGGATGCGGGTTTTGGGATAAAGATATCTTAGCCGGAGTAGCATATGCTCAATTCAACCAGGAAGTGCGGGATAAATTTGATATTAAGGGACGGGATGTGAGATGAAAAACAGCAAATCACGGTTACTTAGTGGCTGAATAAATTAATTTACCTCATGTTCAGGATTGTTTGGAAACACTGATGAGTTAAAGAGAAGCAATTTTTAAAAGAGCTTGCCAATCACGTTTTAGTCACACCAGCGTCATTAACTATCACTGCAAGTAGTTGTGCTTCATCTTTTAACTACATGACGTCAGAGTTAAAAGAAGTTNTTAACAGCGCTGCTGGGACGAGAAGAACAAACGAGAGTTAAAGCGATCTCAACGAGTAAGTAATGCGGCAAAAATGCAGTAGTTTGCCTGCCTTTTGTAATCAAGTCCCCTATTTTAGAATTCGTGGCTTATTTAACGTCTCTCTATCACGCTACAGCCCGACGCGTGACTGAGTACACGAGGAAAGTCTCCTTGAGTGAAGGAAATGGATCCTTACAAATCAATATCGCTAAGAGTTGTAATCAATTTATTTTCTGACTTATTCAATTTCTTTTGTTAGACACTACTGTTAACCTTTTGTTAAATAGTATTTCACTCTGGACGTTCTCTTTTATGGCACCCGTACAGATATTTGTGCTTTTCTTTATTAATATTGTTCTCATGTCCAATTGGTGGTTTGTTGTTGTTGCTTTTTTTAGCGGGACGGAGCGCACATGCGGAGATTCTTCAGGGAGGTTTACGTGGACAGTGTTTTCCCAATATTAAATTCCGCTGAATTGCCACCGTATATCTGGGGTAACGACGAAAGAGAAAAGGTGAGAATATTGTCTTCTCGGTTGCTTTAAACGTCAGTTAACTCTTTAACGCTGCCCAAAACTCTAATTTCTGTCGTCTGAAAGGAATAGGAGTATCTCTACTTCTCCTGTGGAAATTCAAAAAACGTATTTTATATCAGATAACTGGATGGTTTTCAGTTTTATTTGACTTGGATCAGAAAAGCTTACTAAAGCTTACTAAGGAAGCCGTCTTCTCTGAAAATTTGTGAATCAGACCGTATGACATGCCTGTTGCCCATTACCATATTGAGCCATCCAGAAGAACCATTTACTATTTTTATTTTCTTTTTTTAGGAACGGCATCTTTGGATTCTTAACCATTGCGAGAAACGAACTGCTCTAGAAAGTTTACTGTCTCCTGATAGACTTTACAAACCTTTCAATGTAGACCGCTTTACTCTCGACTTATCAAAACTCGCGGCAACTTGACACTCGAGAACACACGGTTTCTTGGCATATTACAGCAAACTTTATCACAAGACTGTCCGCGCAGTGCAATTTGTCAAGCACTATGTCGACTTGACCATGTCATATTGCTGAAGAACAAACCTCGTGCAGTTTGAGTGTTTTCATATTAATTTATTGTCCAAATAAGCTAAATTCTATATTTTTAGACCTTCAATCTGAGAAAGCTCTGCAAAAGCGTAGTGATAATTGTTTATTTATATATTGAAACCACTTATATTGGAGTGAAAGTGTTGCTTCCCGATTCCGTTCGATTCAAACTAAATTAAAGTTACTTAAGCAGAATCAAAATATTTAAACTACTTCGAGCTTTCGGAGCCGTCACGGCGCCTTTTTCAAATGATGGCAACTGTTAATTGTCATATGGTCTATAATAACTAAATTGAAATCCAGTGCCAGACCCCACTCTCAATCGAGACCATGCTTTTTCACCAACTGTATGTATATACGAAGGCATTCTGTCACGTGACTTTGACGTTCTTTTCACCTGTTAGTACGTCACTGTCAATCCCTCACCGGCATTTTGTACTCCTGTTTCTGATTTTTTTTTTTTTCGTGGGTTACACTGTATCGAGATTTTCCGTTCCCGTGCGCGCTTCTTGGTGCGTTTCATCCTAAACTCTAGTGGTAAAGCTTACTGCGATTTTGCTGAGGCTCTTCCCATGCCTTCCCTTTTCTCCTCCTCCTCTTTGTTAATGCTTTGGAAAAACCTGTACAAATCCATTCACAGACGGCACACGAGTTGATGACGAGGATGGTCTTAGTGCATAAGAACTTCAGTCACATTTTATGCTCGAACACCTTCAACGGAACTGTACATTAGTATTATACATAGCAGAAAGAAGACGAAAAGCGTCTGCGTTGTTACTATGGGACTAACAAAAGTCAATGATATTTTCGTATGAGAAACTGAAAGAGTACCTGCCTTTAGCAAAAAAGGAAAATACAAGAAAGTTCTGCACTTAACTGGACATCGCTCATACCGGAAATCATTCGTTAGTTAAAGTTTATTTAAAATTCACTGTTTTGCTTTAGAATAATGAGATTTCGAAAATCCAAGATGGCGGATCCAAGATGGCCGCCACCAAAATAGCAGGTAGTTAAACCTGACGTCATTGCTGGTTGCCATGGTAACCAAGTTAAGTCATACGACGTACGTCATCAAGAGTAAGCTTCGTATAACGTTTGGTCCATGTATCTTGAATCTAAGAGCAAGGATATTCGCAAGACTTTTTTTACATCTAATTAGCATAAATTAGCATAAATTAAATCCTTAGAGTGGCCAGAAACATGGGAAGACGGGATTGAAAAATTTGAACTCCATCGGATTCTTATTGTTCAGCCCAAAATAAGTGGAAAACAGCGAAAAGATCAATTTCGGCACGAAAGTCCTACGGGATTACACGCCGTACCGCACCACAAGGACGAGACAAGAAACTTAACCACAGATAACGCCTGGTTCTTGATCTAAATTGAGACCAGACTGATGGGAATGAGTGCTTTAACCAGACATACAAGATGCTCAACAAATTTAGGGAACTAAAAGGTTAATTAGATTGTAACACTACAACATTTCAAAAGTAGGGACAAAGAAGAAACAGTGCTGTTGTTTTAGTAAATAGATATCCCAACAAACGCAAAGCAACAATAAAAACCAAATCAAGGCCAATATCAAAATGTAAACATCATCAGTAGCAAAGACAGCTACAAAGTCACCTTATGTTTCTCTGATACACTCATAAATCTATTTCAAAGTGTCTGAGGAGATTAGATCAGATAGATAAAAGAGCTATACACTGAACAAAACCAAGCACCGTCTCGCATTCAAAGGTTAATTGGACAAATATATGTCAAAAGTATATGTCTGATATGTGACTATTACCAGTTTTGTCCTACTCGGCTGAAACGACGGTGATGATTGGACTGATCAATGTTCCCCGTTTTTTTTCGATCATCGAATTCGCAAAATGTTCCAGGGTTCTTTCTTTCCGCTGAAAAAGTAAAGCGACTGTTAACAGTTTGTGAGATAATTTTTAGCCAAATATGCATAACAAAGTTAACACTGATTTGCACTCACAACTTTTACTGAGTCGCCAGAATGAAAACAAAAACCAATATGAGCCGATAACGGGAAATTTCCTTGTCAAAATAATAAACAGGGAAAAGTGAAGCAGATTGATTTTTCTACCAGCGGTTCTTGCAATCAATTATTCATCATTTGCTTGGCTTACAGATAGCGCTCAAAAACTGAAAACAAACAGTCACGCGATATTCATTGATCCAAATCTCTTCCAGTGTAAATTAAAAGTGTTAAACATCTCTTGTATATACATCTTATTTGTGGATGAACGGTATCAGTTACCAACAGTTTACAGTTTATAACCTTACCGTGGTCAGTCTCTCGATCCTCGGACGAAATTGAATCAAAAGTGATAGAATCTGAAAAACAAAAGCAAAAACAATCGAATTAAACCACTTCTTCTAAAGTATGTAAAATCTTTTGCTATCTCCATTTTATTGTTAAATACTCACGCTACAGTCCAATGCCTTTCAAAGGAAATTGTGTAGTTGACCATAGTTAATAGATTGAAATGATTATGAAGCCCGACAAAGTTCTTCTTTGTATGATTTTTTCCTCATTTTGGCCTTAACTATGCATAAAGCACAATAGGTAATTATTTATGTTTCATAGACTATATAACTCAACTGGAACAATTCGGTTATGGGACTTATGCATAGTGTATGATGGTAAAACGAAAGAATATTTGGGGTCGTGGACCTTCCAACATAAATCTTGGCATCTTTGTTTGATCTTTTAAAGCTTGTCGGGCTTCAAAACTATTCCCTCCACTAACCGTGCGTTGAATGAATAGAATTTACATTGTTCGCCTTTCTATCATGGACACTGACTGACTTGTCTGAAGACAAGTAAGACAAGTAAAGAAGCAAGGCTTTTGCCATAGGTCTGTTGCAATGTTTCACATTTGATCATTTCATAATATACTTTGCAGGATTTTATTGATTTCCTTCTGCCGCCTTCTCGTGGTAATAATATCAGTTCACAGAACCAAAAACTTTCCCGTTCTTACAGGAAACGATTGAGTTTGCGATCAATCCTCGCTTTTTGATTGTCTGAATGTCGTGACTATCATAATCGCGATATGCATATATATTATTCTAACTGGCCAAGATAGACACCAGACGATGCAAAGTTAGCTAGAGCTCATCGGCGTACGAGCCGGGCGGGGGGTAGGGGGCGAGGGGGGCTGCAGTCCCACAGCTACGGAAAATTACGTAATTTTTCGGGCAAAACGGTCATGATTCAGGCAACGACACTTAAAGAAAACATTACAAAATGATGCTGTTAATGTGATTTCCAAAACTCGAAAAAAAAGTTTCTACTTTTTATGAAGCTCTCTGTGATTATACGCCCGACCGGGTGTCTGTAGGCCGTTGAGTGATTTCTTCAATGGGTTGGTACCTGAAGTAGTACCGTGTGCGTACAGTATAAAGTGTACCATTTGTATCTACTGCTGATCTTAAGTATCGTTGGCGCACCGAAAACGCCGCGGTAGTCAGTTGGGACAGCGTTTTCGGCCTTTCCTTTTAAATTTTAAGGCTTGTAAGCTACTTTCTTTGACATTTGCCATGCAAAAAGGACTTAGACTGAAATGTTATGAGGGACCTGGGGTTTTCTGCTGGCTACAAGTTGGCTAAATGTGTATCGTGGAAATCCAAAATAAGGATATTATTTACTTTCCCAATTTTCCATCAGCAAAACAAGGACACGAATCAAAGCGAACGAAGACCAAGACTTTTTTTCTTGTGGTGGCTTTGAAAGGGCCGTTTAGAATGTCTTAATCATGGTGTGTTTTAATTTATTTCTTGAATTTTACTTTGGAGGTGTTCCTCTAGTACGCCCATGTTGTTAAGCATCTTATTTACGTGGCTTTTGAATTCACAGAAGGCTTGCAGTGTTCGCTGCAAGTCTGCTGTGGCCAAGAATATCGGCTCAAACGACTTCTAGCAACGCCTCATGTTGTTCTTTGAACGTCTGGAGTATGTCGAGACGTTCGTCTCGAATATATGATTGCTTCTGTAACGGTTGTCCAAACGGTCCATCTTCAAACACAAACGTCACTGTTGCTGATCAGCCGATTGCTGAACGAACTCCATGAAAAGAAGCACTTTTTCTTTTAATAAGTTGTATATGTTACTAGCTTGAGACTGTTGGTAGAGGTCATTGAGTATCCAAGCTTTCAATAGAACTATCTATATGAACGTTTTTCTTTTTCACGCAGTTTGAGTGCGTTTGCATCCCGATTTCAACACTCACGCATTCGGGCACTGAGTATTTTTTTCGGGCAAGAAGGTCACCCACAAGTCTAAAGGTGCCCGTACGCAAGAGCTGTACTTATAACAGCGAAACTTGCTTTGGAAAGTGAGAGTACGAAAACCGCTTGAGGGTTTCTAGATATTTCAAGGAAAAACTGATTATCATAATACGTCAAGCATGAAAGATGTATTTCGAAGTTTCTGGAGTGTCAAAACATAAGCTTGGCGGGAGGCGAGATAAGCTGAAAATCCAGCGGGATGTGGAATGCGGGATGCGGGTTTTGGGATAAAGATATCTTAGCCGGAGTAGCATATGCTCAATTCAACCAGGAAGTGCGGGATAAATTTGATATTAAGGGACGGGATGTGAGATGAAAAACAGCAAATCACGGTTACTTAGTGGCTGAATAAATTAATTTACCTCATGTTCAGGATTGTTTGGAAACACTGATGAGTTAAAGAGAAGCAATTTTTAAAAGAGCTTGCCAATCACGTTTTAGTCACACCAGCGTCATTAACTATCACTGCAAGTAGTTGTGCTTCATCTTTTAACTACATGACGTCAGAGTTAAAAGAAGTTAGTCATTTCAGTCGACGTTACGGTTACACATTCTCCAAGGTTTTTTCTTTGCGTGCAAAAAGTAGATCGACTGTGAACAGCTCTTTATGATTTCAGTCTACTATGAATAACAAAGCTATTAAAATATTGATGTATACTCACGGGGTTTGATGAGTCGACCAGAATGAAACCAAATGGATAAGCGCCAATGACAAGACCTTTTCCTCTGAAAGGTAGAAGAGAAGGAAAAGGTAAGCAAATTATTACTGCAGGAACGATGCTTCGAAACAGTTATTCGCGGGACTTAATTTCGCGGGACTCACTAATAGCTGCTTTAAAAAAGCAAAAAAAAAAAAAAAAAAAANAAACTTCTCTCAGTGTAAATTTAAAGTATTAAAAATCATCTCTACTTGTTATATGTGCACCAAACGCTATCAGTCACAGAAAGCTTACAGTTTATAAACTTACCGTGTTCAGTTTCGCAGTCTTCTGATGAAAATGAGACCAAAAGTGATAGAAACTAAAACAACACTGGGGGAGTTTCCCTGCAAGACAATAGGAGGTCCAAGAGGAAGTCAAAACAAACTAATATTGAGATAGAAGTTGTGCAAACCGATAAAATAAAAACATTCGAAATTAAGTTAAATTTTTTATATTTCCATTCCTTGCTAAACACTGACGGTAAAAGTCTTATAGCTTTTAGAGCATATTGGGTCTTAACCATAGATAATAATCAACGAAATGGTTATCAAGCTAGACAAAGTTCTTTATTCTATGTTGTTGCTCGCTCTTTGGCTTAACCGTACATAAAACACAATTGGTGTTAACTCAGTTCTGTCTTATAGATTTACCAACATAAACGTTTCAGCTATCTAATAAATACACTGTGGAAAAATTGTTCATAGTCCTGGACCTACGAACATAAATCTTAGTATCTTTGGATCATCTTTTGAAATTTCTCGGGCTTAAAAGTCACTCCAGTTTAGTATTAAACTCTGTGTCTGCTGATAAATAAAATTTACATTCCACGCCGGTTCCTGTCATATAAAGACTGACTTGCTCTGAAGAGAAATAAGACAACTAGTGAAAGCCACTTTTGCCATCGATCTGTTGTAAAATATGGAAGACCGTGGATTAACTTTTCTCCAGTTTTCACTTTATAATATACTTTGTACGATCGATCACAAACTTTTCCCATGCAAGCAGACATCAGATCTGACAGAGCCAAAAACTTTGCTTCCTAAAAGCAAACGATGGATTTTGCAATAAATCATCACTTTGTGATCATGTCTAAATGTCGTGGCTCAGTATCATAATAAAGCTATACATTATTCCAACTGTTTAAGACAGAAACCAGACGATACAAAGCCAGCTAGAGCTGTACTTATCACGGCGGAACCTGGGGCCCGTTTCTCGAAAGCCCTGGAAACTTTTCGGGCCCGTAAAGCCGTTTTTAGTTCATCTGTATCTAAAAACGGAGATGTGTCTTCGCCTGAAACTTTTTGTATGAAGGGATCCTCTGTTCACATTAAGAATATGTGAGTAAAACAGCTCTGTAATCGTAAGATTCGAGATTTTGCACTGGCTTTCAGAGCCCGAAAAGTTTCCGGGGCTTTCGAGAAACGGGTCCCTGCTTTAGAAAGTAAAACAATGGAATTCGCTTGAGGGGTTCTCGATATTTTAATGAAACACTGATTATTCTAATACGTGATAAATGGAAAATATATTTCAAAGTTCAGGGGAGTCAAAACATATGCTTGGTGGAAGGCGAGATAAGCTGAAGACCCAGGCGGGATGTACAATGCGGGACTCGGGATGAAAATATCAGGAAATGCCGGCTAACTTTGGAAATGAGGGACGGGATGGAGGACGAAAAACAGCAAATTACGGTGACTTAGTGACTGAAGAAATTATTGTTATCTTCCAGGAGTCTTTGAAAACAGTAATGAGTTAAAAAGCAGGCGTTTCTAAAACAGGTGTCCAATCGCGTTTCAGTCACACCGACGTCATTAACTATAACCGGATTTGAATAGTCTTTAATTACATGACGTCAAAGTTAAAAGTAGTTTGTGACTAAGGTCGACATTACGGTTACAAATTTTCTCGGGTTCTTTCTTTGCGTTTAATAAGTAGATCGACTGTGAACAGTTTACTTAACGATTTCAACCTACTATGAATAATAAAGCTTTTAGAATATTGATTTATACTCACTGGTTTTAATGAGTCGACCAGAATGAAATGAAAATGAATACGTGTCAATAACAGAACCTTTTCCGCTGAAAAGTAGAAGAGAAGGAAAAGTTAAACAAATTATTACTGCGCAAACGATGCTTGCAAACATTTATTCGCGTGGCTCACTATTAGTCATAACAACATGATTAAACTTGCCGTATTAAGTTTGTCGTTCTTAAGATAAAAGTGAAAACAAAAATGCCAGAAACTTGAAAAAACACTGTAAGAATTTCCCTGTAAGGCAGAAGGAAGTCAAGGGAAAATGGAAACGTTTCAAACCGGGCTCAAAACAATCGAATTAAAACACTTCTTTTTAAGTGTGTTATTACGTTTTTTGCTATCTCGATCTATTTTTTGTCAACATACTAAGGAAATAGTCCAATAGCTTTAAAGGCATATTGAACGTGCGTCACTTCGTTTCCAGAGGGATAAATGTTTCTACCAAAATTGTTCCCAGTGCAATGGAACTCTGCCTTATGGTCACCTCGTTAATGCGACCACTTTTTATGTCTCGGTGAAACGCTCATACTTTTCTTTATAAGAAAGCGCCACCCCGCTAATACGGCCAACAGCCACATTCTGAAATCCCAACATGTATAATCCTTGATAATTTAACCCTATTCAGTATACGGCCACTCAAAGAGTTATGTTCTTCTTTCTATTCTCACTGAATAATTAATTAGGGCATCGTGAAACGTCCAATAAATGTACTCCGCGATCCTTGGGGTAGCATTAGTGCATTGCGGGCTTCCCCTCTACATAGGATTCGCCACATGGTGATGATTTCATCGAGTCACAGCGCCTACCGGGGAAACGACAAATCAAGGTTCGACCCACTCTCCTTCCCTGGTGTTGGTTATCATCCCCTTGTATGCTCGCTGTCTACCTCTTACCACAGCAAGTCCGCAGAGCTCGCCCGTAACTTAGTTTCGCGATGTGGTAAGTAATAGCCAGCGAGGATATAGTACTATCCTTAATATG